GGGCCCCGAGCTCCGTGTGCCCGTGCCCGCCGGGGCTCCCCTCTCCAGCCCCCTCCGTGCCTCTGTGTCCCCATCCTTGCCGCGGGTCCCCGCGCCCAGCCCCATCCCCTCGCCGGGTCCCGGGTACCCAAACCCCTCCCTGCTCCCACGACCCCTTCTCGGGTCCCTCGTTACCCCCCCAAGCCCCTCACGCCCTTGTCCACGCGTGGGGCTCTGCCCCGTGGTCCCTTTCTCAGGACCGAGTGGCAAGGATGCTGTTGCCATAGCAACGGGGCAAAGAGGTGAGGCGTGGGGCTGTTGCCATAGCAACGGGGCAGAGTGGGATGATGCGAGGGGGGTACTGCCGTAGCAACGGAGAGGAGGGTGTTGCCATGGAGACCGCAGCTTCCACTGAGGCTCGTCCTTCCCATCGCCACGGCAACAGGAGATGGGGAGCGGGCCGCTGTCTCCGTGGCAACAGAGGGGAGGGAAAAGGAGAGGCTGTTGCCATGGCACCTCCACGGTGCTGCTCTCCCTGGCAACACACATCCCTCGCCATGGCAACAGGGAGAGGGAGGCTGCGGGCCGGGGGGGTGTGGGCAGCCAGCCCCCCTTGGCAGGGAAGGGATTATCACTGCCTCGGGAAACTGTCCTAAAAATTTGCCAGCCCAGGCGTGAAGGCTGCATCGAGCCCACGACACCCCCGGGCCAGCGCAGGGACGGGAGGGAAGATGTGGTGGGCAAGCAGAAGTGGTTTGGGGGGTACAGCACAGAGCAGGGTGTTAGCAGGGCAGTGTGCATTAAAAAATAACGAATTCAGGCCCTGGCAATGCCGGCTTGTGATGATTGCAGCTGACACTCACAAATTGCAGAGCTGAACAAGCGAGCAGGAAAGCCCTGTGTGTTTATTTTGTTCACTTCATAGCACTGTCAGTCTCTTTCCCTCATCCTGACCGTGACAACATGAGAGGAGACATGTGCTCCAGTAACCAGGGAAGTTTCAGGTAGACACATATGGACACAGGCTTTAGGCAGGAGAACTCAAAGGTGTTTACAAACTGCAACGCAGTTTTTCAGTTTGATCTGGGCTTTGGGGACATCTCCTGCTGGTGACAGCTCAGTCCCTGGATCTGCTCATCACTTCCAAGGAAGATAATTAATGTTCTAAACTTCCTTCAGCACGAAAAGCAAAAAAACCTTCTCGGGAGGGTCACCTTGAGCTAAGACAACAGAGACTGTGTCACAAAAACACCACAAAAATAACCGTTTGAGGGGCTGGTACAGCTGGGCTTTGTTTCCTGCGCATGGGCGAGGTGTCAGATTTAGGTCAGCCCGCTCCCTGGTTAAGCTGTGGGTCATGAGAGCACCTTTTAATGCAGCTCTGAAAGGCTGTGACACCGTGTGATGCAACACAAGAGTGTGAAACGCTGCTGGAACCAAAGGGATGGGTGTTTAAGGGCTTCTGTGTGCCATCCTTGATATTTAAGGCTGGTTTTCCCCAGGTGATCGATGCTCCAGCAGCAGCAGCTCCTCGCTCCTGACTCCTCAGCAGTAACATAATCCCACATCCCTCCTGCATTTAGAGCAAGGCTTTTGCTGCCAGGACAAAGGAAACCCAAAGGCGTCAGGTTTGGGGGCAGCAGGGAGAACACACGTATATATAATTTCATCCACTTGGCAGATCTGGGATATGGAGCTCTCTGGTGCCCCTGGAAGCGAGTGGATTGCATTCCCCCCCTCCCTATAGGGTTACTGCCAGCCCCAGCCCCAGCCCCTGACCTGTGTGGCAGCAATGGCCCCACACCCCCTGCCCCAAACCCCATTAGGGGGGTTTATGGTTACATCAAAGCCTTCTCTGAGCCCAGCCTGCCCTTCCTTGCCAATAAAACCACTTAAAAGGAGGAAAAATAATCCAGGTGATTCATTTCCCTGGCCGCAGCACCACCACCACTTCTTGGAGCGCTGGGAGAAAACCAGGACAAAGAGCTCAGTCTTGGTGCAGCTGAACCCTGGTGCAAAATAGATTAATTTCTATTCATGACCAGGGTACCCCAAAACCCAGGGGCCAGAGCAGCTCCCCCATGGAAACCCACAGCCAACTGCACGGAAAAAAACAACCCAGACTGTTGCAAACTTATTTATTTATGAAGTATGAGGTAATGAAGAAAGTGCTAAATCCAACCAGTGTTAACTCTAACAGTTCTCAGCAGGTCAGCAGGGACCCCAGGGTGCCATCCCATGGGACCACCCCTGCCAGCACCCCTGGGAGGGGACAGGGGACTCTGCCACCCACATCCCCCCACAGGCTGGGCAGCAGGAGGGCACAGACAGGGAAGGTAGCGCAGCCCAACCTTTGCTGGGGATTTTAAGTGGCTGCTGGTGAAGAACTCACAAAGGTGGGGGGAAAAAAAGGGTCACAAGGATGCTCACAAGGATGGGAGAGGGATAAAATTCCCTGTTATTGCAAATGGGTGGTTTGGAGAGCTGCAAGGGGGTGAATGGACTCTGCGAGGACTCAGCTCAAGGGTCCAGCAGGAACCAGCCCCTTCCTGATCTCCCTAAAGTGCAGCAGGACTGAGCCCTCCCCCACAGCAGGAAATCCCCCTTAAAAAAAAAAAAAAGTTTTTATATATTTATATATATATAAAAAAGCAAACTCTTTACCAATACTTCTCAAAAAGTGGTACAAAAATACAGTATAAAAACACAGCCTCCAGTATAAGACTCGCAGTTACAGCAGCAGTTTCTAGAAGATAAAATCCAGGACCAGCTACTGCGTGAAGTGACAAGGAAGTGAGGTACGGTCCAGCCGAGCAAGGGGATTGCCCACGGGGTGCTGTTCATCCCAGTGAGAGACACATCCTGCCGTCACCATCTCCCTGGGATCCCTCCAGAGGACAGCCCCGTGCTGGGCTCTGTGTCTGCCTGCTTCCAGGAGCCAAGGCAGACGTGGTTGCTTGGGATTTTTAGGGTGAGGTGGATGCCCAGGCGTAGCTCCCAGAAATGCTGTGAGTGGCAAATGGCAGAGAGGGGTGCAGGGGCTGCTGGGGAGGGGGAAGAAATCTGAGCTCTTGACCTGGAGCAGTCTCTGAGGAAGCTTCGCAGCAGGGACAAGGGGAATTTTGGAACACCCAGCGCCAGGAAGCCAACCCCAGGTCGGTGATGCTGGGGATGGGTCTCTGCTCTGGACCCGTTCCCGCAGCCATTGCCACGCGCTCCAGCCCCCGGAGCCAACGGTTCAACAAGCAACCAAAAAATTCAAAAATGTGCAAATTGAGAAGGAGCTGGGGGGTTGTGGGGACCAGAGTGGGGGGCACACCGACTGCTAGTGCCCCTTAAGGTGAGCAATCCGTTTGAGCAGCTGGGTCTGGCGCAGCTGCAGCTGCCGCTTCTCGGCTGCCATCCTCCTCTCGGCGCTGATGAGGGACTGCAGGTACTCCGAGGATTTGCTCAGGATCACCACTTTGGGGGTCTTGGGGCAGCTGGCGAGCCCGGGTACCTGGTCCCGCAGGGCCAGGAAGCGTGAGCGCAGGTCGTTGCGCCGCTTGCGCTCCAGGTAGTTGTGGTTTTTCCTCTTGGCCACGTCCTCGCTGTCCGAGCCGGGGCTGCTGCTGGGTTTTGGCAAGCCAGGCTCAGGCAGGCTCACGGCAGGGGCTGGCTCCGCAGCGCTGGGTGGCTCGTCCTCCTCCTGGTCCTGCTGGGGTGACTCGGGAGGGGGACAGGAGTCCGGCGGCGAGCGGGCGGCGTAGTTGTGCTGCTGCTGGTGGACGGAGATGTGGAAGCGTTTCATGCAGGGGTCCAGGGGGTCGGCACGCAGCGTGATGGTGACCGGCTTCCTCAGGCCGAGCGATTGTCTCTTGTCCACCGTCACCACGTCGATCTCTTCACCTTCTGCTCACATGGCAAAGAAAGAACAAACCCCCATCAGCTGGGAATGCCCAGTGCTCTTCACCACCTTTCTATGGGTTCCCCACAGCTCCCTGGAAAACCTCCCCACTGAGGTTTGCCCCCACACTGCGAACTCTGTGACCTCTTCTGCGACCTCCAGAAGGGACTGAGTGATTTAAGCGCCCTTCCAATACCATCACGTGGGAAGGAGTGGAATTCCCTCCCCGCTTCATGCGCCTGGTCCCCCAGAATTGGACTGCGAGGCTTTACTTCCACCTCACTTCAGCACCAGGAGCAACGTGTGTTCATCATAAAGGATCATCAGGAAAGAAACAGCCGAGCCCTCCTGCGAGGTGGGGGGGAACTGGAGGAGCAGGATGCTGGGACAGCCTAGTTCCAAAGTTCATCCCGGTCGGGTGCTTTCATGGCCCATTGGAATTGTAAATGAGGGATATAAGGGCAGAACTAGCCTTTGTTTCCCTCGGCTGCAGCTTCCCACCTCGGTGACTTGTTACTTTTCACAAGTGATAAAGCCCATTCAGCCCCGGCTTCCCGGGGACAGAGGGGACAATCCCCCACCGAGCAGGGAGGGAGGGAAGGAGAGGTGAAGAGGTCCCAGAGCAGACTCTGAACCTCAAAGGCATCTCAAGCCCAGAAACAGAAAGACCTAAATAAAGCATAATTGGCCTCAAAGCACTCTGCCTGCTGCCACTGTAGTTGTCCCGTCCCAGCAAAGCCCAGCGGCAGGGAGCTGGCCCTGGGGACATCCGCAGCCACTGCTCTCTCTTTAGGGGACGGGCCTCCAACTTTTTTCCTGGACTTTGGGGGAAAATACAGCCATTGCTAAAGATCCCTCGAGATGCTCAAGCCACCCCTCAGCATCGTGGGCAGAGGTCTGGCCCCCATCATCCGGTGAGGGGGCCAGTGGTGAGCCCAGATAGTGGTCCCAGCAGATACCCCAAACCCTCCAGGCCTTGGGGTTCAGCCCAGGGAGCCCAAACCCCCCTGACCCTGGAGCTCCTGGGCTGGGGGACACTCAGCAGTGTCACAACCCGCGCGGTCTCAGCCCCGCGTACACACACTCAACCTCATTAATAAAAACTCACACCGCCTAACCCCGCCCCCCAGAGGCGCTCATTGGCTGTCCCACGGGGCAGGCCGGCTGTTCTGCCATCCCATTGGTCCGTGCTCCTGTCCATCAGCGCGGCCCCTCTCATTGTTTGCAATCTGTTGCTTTTTGTTCGGCGCCCACGTGGCGCGGCCGGACCCCTCCGGGACCCCACGGGCATCCCGGCGGCCCCCGCCAGACCCGCGCATATTTGGGTTAAGCCTCTTAACGCCCGCGACCTGGCTTACAGTCCCCGGGCTACTAATGGCATTAAGCCC